GCAGCGAGCTCAGCCAGAGCATATGCTTAGCAAATTGGAGCCAACAGCACCAGGAAATGCAGGTGTTTCTGACTTCAGCTTGCCACACGAGTGAAGGCTGTGGCTGGCCTCAGCCCCTCCAGCTCTTCCTGGGTTTCTCCTAGCCCCCTGACCTTCATGGTTTCCTTTGCCATTATTCTTCCATTGTCTGTTGTTGTTGTTTCTGTTTGGATCAATTGGTCGTTTTGTTTTTGCTTTTGCTGATTCTTACTATGTTGCACTGACTGACCTGGTGTTCACTATGTAGCCCAGACTTAGCCTTGAGTTCAGGGTAATTCTCCTGCCCCAGACCTTAGATTGGTGAAATTAGAGATATGGACCACAACATCCAACTCATAAAATTGTATTCTTGTGTTTTCCAGTGAAGCCCAGGCTGGCCTCAAACTCACCATGTAGCAGAGGATGACTTTGAACTTGGAGTCCTTCTGTTTTCTCCTCTGAGTACTGGGATTAAAGGCCCGGGTTACTACCCTGAGTTCATGTACTGCTGGAGGTAAAGCCCAAGGCTTTCTGCCGGCTAAGCAGGCCCTCTATCAACTGAGCTCCCGCCTTCCTTAATCTTTTTCATAATTTCTTTTGCTGGATGCAATCCCCAGTCCCTGCAATTTGCTATTTTAAAGCATAGCTCAGTGGTCTTTGGCACGATTTTGCTAGAATTGTGCAACCATTGTCACAGTCAACTTTAGAACATATTATCGCCTCCCAAAGGGAGCCCCAGCCCTGGAGCTGTCCTTCCCTCATCAACCCCAGACAGTCATGCCGGAGGAGTCACCCATTCCAGGCACCTCGTATGAATGGAACAGTTTGATACGGCTTCCCGTGTCTAAGCCTCTTCCGAGCAGCGCGTTTTCCAGATCTCCCATGTGAGCCTGCGCTTCTCTGCACAGGTGTTACACCAGCGTGGCCAGTCCACAGCTGCTCTGCACACTCATTTGCTGGTGGATGTTGGGGCTCCCACCTTGTATATAGACAACTGCTAATTACAAAGCAAACATTCACAGCCAGGCTGGTGTGGGCATTCTGGGCAGATACTCCAGGAAGGATTACAGGTCTTGGGTGGTTCTGCAGCCCAGTTCTAGAAAAATGTCAAGTGTGCATGTATGTGTGTGTGCATGTGTGAGTGTGTTCTGGTAACAGCTTTATAAATATAGAATGACATCTTGCCCAGTTCTTTGTTTTGGGGGTTTCATTTTTTGTTGTTTTGCTTTGTCTGAGACAAGGTGTCATGCGATACCCCCTGGCCACCCTGGAACTCACTGTGAAGAGCAGACTGGCCTCAAAAGCACAGGGATCTGCCTACCTCTGCCTTCCAGGTGCTGGAATTAAAGGCACACACCACCACACCTGGCTTTCATTTTCTTTTCCTGGAGGCAGGGTCTTGCTATGCAACTCAAGCTGTCTTGCCACTATTAGCGATCTCCTGCCTCAGCCTTCCATCACCGGCTGGAATTAGAGGCATGGACCGCCATTCCTAGTTTAGGCGGTTGTTTCTTGTTGCTGAGCTGTATGATTCTCCATGGGGACCGACACGAGATAGATGGTCTGAAAAACTTCCCCATTTGGAAGGTTTTTTTTTTTCATTTTCCTGGATCCATCATATAAAAGTTGTTAGCTTGGATGATGTTCAATTTGAGTATTTTTTCTTCTGTTGCCTGTTTCGTCTGTTCGTCTGTGTCTTTGTTCTTTAGGTTGGGGGAGCTGAGTGCTTCCTGAGTGGAGCTGGCATGAACATGGGCTTGCACACGTGTAAGTAGTGGAGAGGGAGCACTGCTTCTGGGCACAGATATACGGGGCAGTTAGGGCAAGCTTGCTGTGGGAGTGACCGTTTTATGATGCTGGGTAGGGGACCTTCTCCTCTCTGTCGTGTGAGAGCCTCTTGGCATGGGTCTCGGATCCCGAAGCCCATTCATGTTGTGGGGTGTCTCCTCCCCTCCCCGCCACCCTGATCTCTAAGCTCTTCCTGAGGCCACGCTGAGTAGTGAGCAGAGAGGCCACTAGACAGGAATCACATGGGCTAACTAATTTTGACTTACAGAAGCGGTCTTAAGTTGGATAGAAATGGGTGAAAATAGGATTAAGTAGAAAGCCAAGCCAAGAACAGACGAAGGAAAACTCCCTACGAGCCGTCCGCCTGGCTGAGCGGGCACTCAGAGGTGGCCGGGTGGGAAGAACACTGGACATTGCTGGGTGATTGCATCATATCCCTGGGCAGCTGCCCACACCACCCCAGCCAGACTGTGGCCGTCTCAAGGCAGGAAGATAGGGTGTGCGTTGCTCTCCCTGTGGCTGGTTTATCTGTGCAGAGCTCATTCCATCCCAAGGATGAATTTGGAAATAATTAAAATTCTGTGTAACACAAGCAGAGGCCGGGTGGCCAGCGGTGACCCATGAAGGGCCTTTACCAACAGAAATCTCAACACAAGGGATCGAGTTGGCCATAAATAAACTGGAGAGCAAGGATGGAGGAGAGCCTGGATCGAAGATGCAGTGGGTGTGGGAGAGCAGCTCAGAGGCTCGTTCTAGCCCCCTTGCTCCCACTGCCCCCGCCCAGGAACCCTTCCCCATCCACGTGTCAAGAAAAGGCAAATTCAGACTCAGCAAAGTGCCCGCTTGACACAAGGACTGAGCTGATCCCCAGACCCGGTGTTAAAGAGTTCGGACCAGTAGTGCACACTTGGAATTCTAGCTCTGGGGAGAGAAAAGCAAGGGGATCCTGAGGCTTGCTGGCCAGTCAGCCTAGCTTTCTAGGCAACGTCCAGAACAGTGAGAGACCCTTTCTACTAAGTGTCTGATAAGCCACACTAGGAAACCAAGAGCTATCGTCTGGTCTGCCAACGTGCACATACCCAAACATACACACCACGCCACACCACCACCCAAAGAGAGAGAGTGGGGGTGGCCAATCCATCTGACTCTCCAGGGGTGGGAGCCAGAAGTCTGCAGACACTGCAGACTGAGCCTCTGCAGGGTCTCCGCATTACAGCCGTGTGGCACTGCTGTGAGTTATAGATGCCCTTTATCCCAAGATTACTTTTGGGGTATTTGTGAGCCCTGTCCTCTGTGAGGCTGCTGAGACACACGTAACCATTTTTCTGGCATCTGAAGGAGCCAAACTTAGCCAAGAAGCAGCAGAGGATAGGTGCCGACTCTCGGGAGGCAGAGGTGACTCATACACCAAGTCATCCCCAGGATCCCCTAGAGTTGAGGTACGCGAGGACCACCAGAGCACAGTAAGCTGACACACGCCTCTGCACGTTACCCCTCACAGCTTCCTCAGAGTCTAATGTGCAGACATGAGCAAGGGCACTCAGTGCCTGGCCTCAAAACACACGCGCTGGCCACCCTCAGGGCAGTGGTAACAAGTCTTGGGACAGCTTCAGGGGGCTTCTCCTAACCCCCTGGCTTCTGTTCCACAGCCTAGGGTCTTCCCATTCACACCCACTGTTCTTCACATTTGTGGACCCCAAGTAGCTAGAAGCCTGCCTCTGCTCACGGGCGAGAACATGAGTGCCCAGAACCAGCTCCCAGGGAAATGCCACTGTGCCTGTACCCTCAGATTACCATGCCACTTCTGAGTACCCTTGAGTCCCAGAGTGACAAACTGCAATGACCAGGACAGCAGGGTGTGAACAAACACAAGTGTAAGAGCGATTGTGGTCCGTGCAACATGTGAATTACATGTGGGAACACACCAAGGGGTCCCCTACCCCATAGGGCTGCGGACACAGCTCTCGGGGCAAGGCTTTCTGAAAAGGATGGGTGCAGGAGAGTGAGAGAAGGGTCCTCCGTGGAGAAACAGCCCCCTTTGGGAGCACTCTGTGTTCCTCGTCTTCCTCCGTGCTTTCCACCCAATCAAGGACCTGGGAGCTGATGAGAGACTTGGCCTACCATAACACCAAAGAGTCTATGATGAGCTGGGCTCCCCTCTTGCTTATGCCTCGCCAGGTAGCCAGTGTGGACAGGACCTGGTGACGGATCCTCCAGGGACCTGGCTGAGCAGATGTCTACCCTGGCTCCCTGATCCATGGTGGCTCTCTGAGGGGCTTTATGCATCTCTTGCTATTTAAAAACAGTTTCCCTCCACCCCCAGGCAAAGTGACAGGTGGCAGAAGACCAGGATCATGTGGGAGCTGACGGGTTAGTGGTCAGGACTCTACCCAAAGAGAAACCATTATGACAAGAGGAGGCTACCCCCAGAAAATACTGTCCCCTAAGTGGGAGAGAGATTCCAGTCAGCCTTAGGTTACAGTCAGACCCAGGGTCATGTGGTGGCCAGAAGCTGGGCCTGGCTCCTGCCCTTTTTGGCTTCACTCATGTGTGATCTGGTGTCCCTCACACCCTAAAAGAAAGCCTGGAATGCCTCCCAGACCTGCAGGTGTGCAGGGGCTTCCCAAATTTCCTCCTACAGCCTCTGCCTGAGGCCCCTGGGGGACCTCACCCCAGTGTGACCCTGGCCGGGGGTTTCAAGGTATGTGAGCAAACTTCTGCTTCTGGGCGAATTCCCCAGCCAGGGAGGAGTGGGGCTTTCCTGCCAGAATACAGAGTTCAGCAGGCAGTAGCCTGAGTGACCAGCAGTAGGGACAGGGGGTGCTCCTGTCTCAAAGACAGGCATAGCTCCACCTGCAGCTTGCTGCAACTCCAGGCACAGAGCAGAAGATGACGGTTAACCCACCAGCAGCTGGGACCCCAGGGAACTCTGTAGTCCTCTACCCTCCCCATCCTGGCATGAGCCCTCAGAGATTTGAGCTGCATGTTGGTGGATCTTCGATTACATTAGTAACTGGCTTCCTCCAGCCTCCTCCTTTGGAATGGGTGTATCTAGAGTTCCCCCATGGATCTGATACCATGTCTATTTTCCTGGTGCCAGGTTTCAGTCTCCGCCTCCCCATGAGAGGTGACTCCTACCCCTAGGAGCTAGGCCATGCCAGCACTTGACCAGCCTCACAGGGTAGACACTGGGAGCCTCGATCCCCACTGCTGCCGGCCCTGGGCTTGTCAGCCCCTCGCAGCTCAGTGTTGGCTAAGGGTATCCTGTCTTCCCCTAGGAGCTCCTGGGGCGCAGGTCAGGGGTGGCAGTACACTGTTCTCTCCCTGAGGTGCCGGTGAAGTGGGTCTTGAGGTCTGGGCCAGGAGTAGACTACTTCCTGATTTTCCTGGAAAATTCCCTTGGAATCTACTTGGCCAAAAGCCAAGGCTCCTCAGGGGCATCTTCCTCCTTCCCACTTCAGACAAAAGCACATGTGACTGTCCCACCCAGTGAGGGCAGAACTCCCTGGGATGATTCATCTGTCCTTCTCCAGAAGCATGGCCTCTCTTTGTGGGGCAGATAGGGCTGGGGACACATTCAGAGCTGGTGAGTGACAACCCAAGGCTAAGTTCTCCTGGGGCAGGTAACACCTCTTGGGAGACAGGGTCCTGTGCTCATTGGTTCCTACCTCCTGAGGGTGGGTCACAGTGCAGTCGGGGCACCCTATGAATCCCAACTAAACTCAGAGATCCTCTGTCCTCTCTCAGACAGGCCCTGAAGGACAAGTAGGAACCACGTTGGAGAGTCTGGACCCACAGGTATGTCTAGTGGGCTGGGGGGGCTGATGGGCTGGTGGGTGGGGTTGGTGGGCTGGTGGGTGGGACTGGTGGGAGGGGTTGTAGACTGGTGGGAGGGGTTGGTGGGCTGGTGGGTGGGGCTGGTGGGCTGGTGGATGGGGCAGGATTGCTAGAGGGTTTTTTTGGGTGGAGGAACTCCACACTCCAGTTTTGTGGGGAATCCACAGAGAACAAGCTGCACCTCCATGCCTCTGTTCCCTGACACTTCCCTTTGCTCTTCTCTCTCCCCAGACGCCATCTTTGGACTCCTCCCTCGGCCTCAGTTCCCACATTTGGGTAGTGGATAGAACAGCTTCTGCTATCCTGACAAGGACAGGCTAAGCACCGCATGAGCACCCCAGGCAGGGAGTGACCAGGCCAGGCCGAGATGGGGTCTTATCATAATCATCAACTCAACCCAGGAGACCCTAGGTCTGAGGCCCAGCCTCCTTCTGCCAAGCTAGCCTCAGACTCAGAGATCCACCTGCCTTTGCCTCCCAAGGGCTGGGATTAAAGGTGTGTGCCACCACCGTCTGGCTTGGCCTTGCTTTTTAAAACATGACTGCTAGGAAATCCCACCTGTGCAGGCAATTCATATTGGACGTCGCTGTCTTGTGACATGCATGACCCTGTGGATTTGAAATCAGAGACCCTCCCAAGGTCAGGCCTTCCAATGCTCTCTCAGGGAAGGAATGAGAGGAGGGTCACCAGACCCACAGTTCCGCCACTGTCCCTCTCCTGATCTCCTCGTGCAGGAGATCCTACCTCAGCTGCACACGGCCTCTGGAGGTGCTGGAGGGTATGAGGGGGAGCTGACTTAAGGAGGAGGGTTAGGGGGTTGTCACTTATGCTGGAGGGGGACTTTCAGTGATGCATCTGGGACATCGTGTTCTGGTGAGTACCTCTCCCTCAGGTTTCAATAGACCCAGTGAATGAGCTGGTCCACTGAGCTGCACATGGTCTGCTGTCGTTGTCTCCTCTCCTTGAACAGTCTCATCTTGGGTCAGGCTGCTCCTCATTTCCACAGCCGCTCTCTCATTCACCCCAAGTGTGATTATGGTGACTGCAGGAAGGGAGAGGCCCCAATGCAGCTCCTGGCTTTACTAGGTTGTCAGGCCTTCTTCTTTCATGGAGAGACAGGCCGACATTGCTAAACTGAAAATGGTGGGTCTCAGGCATGCACACATAAGCCTCACTGGTCCTGTGGTCCTCTACTGCATAAGCGCAGAACAGTAAGGGCTTGGAGACACGTTGTGTTTATGGTACACTCAGGAGCTGTAATGTCCTGTCATAGATTAAACTGGGGCCCCAGACATTCAAGGTCTCTGAGGCCAATTCAAATGGAAGTCACAGGGGATCAGTGGCACTAATCTGAAGACAGCATCACTATGGAAACTGGAAGGTAACAGACACAAAAGGGCAGTGAAAGATGCCCAGGGGGGCTGAGGAGTGTACCCACAGGTCAGGATGGCAGCTGCATAGGCCAGGTGCCCCTTCCAAGGCAGAGAAGTCCTCCCTGTGCCCTGACCGTGCCACCCAGGCTCCCGGACTAAGAGAAAGCAGACTGTGCTCTTTTTGAGTCACTTGGCTCAGGCCCTGGGAAATGGCACACCGCTTCACGGAGGTGGCTGTGCCCAGGCCTCAGCTCAAGTCATCCCATCAGCTAACCCCTCCCTGCCGGAACCAGCCATCCTACCCCTGCCCCGTGAGTGTTCTCAGCACCTCCGCTCCATAAATAACTTCACAGGACCATATGCAACAGGTTTCATTCTTTGTCCGAGCAGCAGAGGAGGCTAAGAGAAGTTGTACCATCTGCACAAAGCCACACAGCAGGCTTAACTATGAAGTTTTCCCTATTTTACAGAATAGCACAGAGGCCTCCAGTCATACGGACCTCTGGTCAGGCCCATCCTAAGAGCCAAAGGGCCCAACACAACTCAAGAGAGGCCAGTATGTGAGTGTCTGGGTTCCTAAATCAGGTTCTCTCCCCAGTGATTTCTATAATGGTGGTACCTCTGTATCCTGCTGCTTGTGGATGCTCTCCTCCCCATAGGGCTGTCCCACTTGCATGGAGTCCCAGACTCTACTCACCAGGAGGGCTAGTGGACAGAGTCGGGAGGCTGGCAGGGACATGGGGGTTGGGAGTCACAGGCAGATCCAGGGGGGATAGAGATACCTAACTGCCGTTTTACTCCTGTGTTGCATCAGTACACTAGAATTTTCTAGAAGGTTCAACCCAGACACCCACAAAGGGAAGAGGCTTGGGGTCAGAAGGCCAAGATGGAGGAATGAGACCATGAGTCCAGACAGCTCAGCACTGGATGCAAGAGGAAACCAGAAGATCATCTTAGTGACTTGTTACTGTGACCAGAAAAATCCCACAGAGACACTGTGTACAGGAAAGGTTCATTGTGACTCAGGTTAGGCCCATCACAGTGGAAGCATGCAATGTGAGTGCCACCCACAGGGGTGGGAGCATGAGGCAGGGGCTCCACCCACAGGGATGGGAGCAAGAGTCGGGGGCTCCACCCACAGGAGTGGGAGCATGAGGCAGAGGCTCCACCCACAGGGGTGGGAGCAAGAGTCGGGGGCTCCACCCACAGGAGTGGGAGCATGAGGCAGAGGCTCCACCCACAGGGGTGGGAGCTTGAGACAGTGGCTCCACCCACGGGGGGTGGGAAAATGAGGCGGGGGGGGGGGGGCTCTCCCACAGGGGTGGGAACATGAGGAGGCAGCTCTTCACTTCTGCCATGGTTCATGGCAGACCATGAAACAGGTAAGATTAAATGAAGGCTTTGCTCTAACCCTCAAGACCCATCCCAGGTGACATACTTCATCCAGTGTGCGCGGAGCAGGGTGAGGCAGGTAGGGGGGGACACTGCTTCCCTCAGGCTCTGCAACATCCCCAAACAACACCAGCTGGGGAAGCCAGTGCTTAAAACATGAACCTATGAGGGGAATAGTTCATGGTCAAACCAGAGTGGGATGGGAGGAAGCTGAAGACTTTGGAGGGGAACCTGACTTTCCCCACAGACCTCAGTTACTGACCCCCATACCCTCAAGGGAACAGATCTGTGCCTGAAGGCCCTCCATGCTTTGGGATCAGTCATAACAGCAGCATCCACACCTTGTCCCTGCAGTTGGCCGGGTGTACAGACCCAGCCTTGAACAAGGCTTCTAGGGTTTGCACATAAGTAACACCAGTGCGAGACCCTGGGGCCTTCCATGAGCCTCCAGATTTTGCATTTGTATAAGGGGACAAGTGGGGTTCATAGGCTCCCTTGGGGAATGTAAGGATTCAGGGTTGATCCAAGACAAGTGATGTGTCTCCCTGGCCACATCAGCGTAGGTCTCAACCCCTGTGCACATATCCACATGGAGAGCTGGCTCCACCCTGCCTGATGGGCCTGGACTGGGCTGTTCCTCATGGCCCCACAGCCTCTCCCTGGCAGCTGGCAGCTTCGCCTCCTGTTTTAAATTGCAGCCTGGTGGGGTTCCTGTGGCCCCTTGCCCGTGGCTCCCCTCCGGCTTGGCAACCAGGAAGTGCATGGCCCTCTGAGGTGCTCTGGGCTGCTCTATCCAGCAGGCGTGGGCTGGGTGGAAAATGACCTCAGAGGGCGGGGCAGTGGGGCGAGCCTTAGGGAGACCGGGATCTCCCAGGGCCACCAGGTTCCCACGCCTCAGCTGCATCCAAACACTGTGCCTAGATCCTTGGTTCTGTGATGGAGGAGGAAGACCCTCATTCTTAGCCCTTTAGAAATGCCTGGTGTTGCTCAGCTCCTTCAGGCCCTGCGGAAAGGAACACAGGCAGTAGGCGGCCCTGCCCTGCCCTGAAGGCTAGTGTGAAGGGAACACAGGCAGTAGGCGGCCCTGCCCTGCCGCTGAAGGCTAGTGTGAAGGGAACACAGGTAGTAGGCGGCCCTGCTCCCACAAGCCAGACCCAGATATTACACCTCCACCCGTGAAGATGCAGTCAGGGCCCAGCATGGACAGCTGTGGACACAGGTCAGATGAGACAGCGGCCCAAGAAAGAGCTCTCTCCACGTCATTTAGACCAGGCAAAATCTAGGCACTCATGATAGGCTCACAGGAGAGGCAAGAGGTTCAAGGTACTGGCAGCTAACAGGCCATTCCTTGGGAGGAGGATCAGGACATAGTAGTGAGCGTTCTCTTAATGGCAACAAAATTCCTCAGAGAAGCGACCTGAGAGAGGAAGGGTTTCCTTTGGCTCACAGCTCAGGGGATACAATCCAGCATGGCTGGAATACGTGTGGCATGGCGGGAACTTGGGGTTCAGCTTGTGACTCCACTTGATCTTGGGGTTTAGAAAACAGAACATTTGGGTAAGAAGGAAGGCTGGGCTATAAGCCTGAGGTCTGCCACCTTCACCATACCTCAAGCGTCATGGTTCCATAACTTCTCTGAACAGCTCCACCAGCTGGGAGCCAAATGTTCGGACACAGGAGCCTGGAGGGAGGGCAGAGGGCATTTCACATTTGAACCTTAACACACCAGGGCAGGGCTGGGGCCCCAGTGAAAGCTGGGATGAAAGCCCCTGAGTCCACACAGGGCCTGAAGTTGTGATCATCTGGCATGGCAGAGGTCACTGGGCCAGAGGGTGGATAGAGTCCCTGCTTTCTCCACCCAGTCTAGCTGGGTGTACTACCTTGGGCAGGGCAGGGCAGGGAGGGGTGTGCCACATTGGTTTCCTGCTGGTGGGTCTCAAGGACAGTTTGCTGGGTTCTGGTGGAGTTGGCAGGCTTCATCTCCTGTATAATCCCTGTCTCCAATATAGATGAGAAAACTGAGACTCAAGAGGCTAAGGAGGGGTTCAAGGTAGGTGTCCACCCCCAGAATCATCTATCCACACATCTATTCACTCACCCAGTACTCAGGGTCACGTGGGAGAAGACTGTCACTCCCTGTGGTCTCTAGTGGACTTCTCGATAGTGAGTCCAGATGTGGTCCAGCATCCTGGATTGAGGGAGGTGACTCTCTGGGTAGCTGCTGAAGATTCTCATTGCTCCTTGCATGAACACATCACCTTGACCCCTTCTCTGTGACTGTTCCTTTTCCAACTTTGTGTCTTATGCATCACCCACAAGGACTTGGAGTCTTTCAACCCAGGGTTGATCTAGACACCAGACTTCACCATATCCTGATCCTGTGCCCATCAACCCCCATCCCACCCCCTGTCGCAGGCACGTGAGGGATGGGATCTACCCTCCGTTTCCCCCGCTGACTCCTATTCCCATTGTGCTCAGCATCATGGGACAGAGAACTGCCACAACCTCCGAACCCTTGCAAGGAAGTCTCAGAGCAAGCTTCTGGTGACATGCACAGCATCTACTCAAAAAAACTCACAGGCCACGGTCAGGGAGAGTCACAACTTTTGTGAGCCTCTTGGGTGAAGGACTGGACATTTGCAGGCTATTGGCTCTGTCCCCCAAAGCCTCTGGCATCCTAGAGAAGTGAGTAGAAGATTCTACTTACCCCTCAGACCATCCCCCAGGTCTTTTAA